TTCCGGTCTCGCAACCGTCATCAGGCAAAGGGAGGAGATTTCCATATTATTAAAAAATAATTATTTTTTTCCCTTTATTTTATTTCGATGTTAAATATTCTCGATATGAGACATTCTTTTTTTTATGTTAGTAACCCCAATGTCTTTCTTGAACTGGCAGTGAAATGTTCTGCGTGAATGTTTATATGTTGTGGAGTATTTTCACAGTGGATGCTTGTATTTCTAATAAGTCGTACAAGACGTTAGGAACTTGGAAAAATAATAGCCAATGACGCAGCAAATCTAGTTGTGATGGTTGGTACTTCAAATGTCCGAATCTCGACACCGTTCTGCAGACTTGCCCCTGCTACTCCTACTTATCTATGGGAGAGTCCATTACCAAAGAATAGGTACCTAACATTATAAAACATGATGAAGTAGTTATCAGCATTCTTATCTTTTAATGACACCTGTGGGTTCTTTAATCTTTTTCTATTTTCGTGTGTACTGATTCCTTGTAATGGGACGGTATGTGTGTGTGTTTTTCTGTGTGTCTGTATGTGTGCGTGTATATGTGTGTATGTGTATGTGTACAAATGTGTTTACTAATTCCTCGCAGTGAGACAGTGTGTATGTATGGAGAGGGAATATACACATACATACACGCATGATGACAAAAACACACGAAAATAGGATTAGAGTTACAGTTTCTGGGAGAAAGCGTGTTATCTAGGGTGATCAACAATTTGAACAAGGTCAGTACATTCAAACCCTCGGTCACGATGACTTTTGACTTCATGCTTGCACAGCTATCGACGGCCCCCAAGTGTTCCGTCTTCCCAATTTCACTCACAAGGCTTGGGTCAAACCGTGATATTGTTTTCAGGCACTTTTCAAAGGTGCCGCACGGTGGGATCATCCCCCTCCAGACCGATAAGGTCAGCAATTCCCCTTCCTGACAAATCAACCGTGGTGAGATTCGAACCACTCGTCCACGCCCCCATATACATGTTCTATAACCTTGGATGGCAACTGGTCTAGGAGAAGGACAACTCTGAATTCAAAACCTGCGGAGAGTCGTTTGGGGACCTTGTGGCATTTAGTGCACCAGGTCTCTGTAATAAGCCCTTCAAAAGTGTCGATGGTCCTGCACGAAACCTTCACCACTATAATCAAATCTCATATGCCTTTGTCGGGCTGTCGGTTTCCTGCGTACTGATCTGCTTGACCCTCATACGTCGAATTCGACGGGAGAGTCGAGTATATATATATATATATATACACACGTTTTAAAATAATAAGAAAGGACAGTAACATTATGTTCTATTTACATTATTCGGACTATTGTCCTCATCTTTGTTGCCATATTTATCACAACGCTCCGGCCTTCTTCAGGTGGTTGGAATGTCGACTGAACCCTTTATTTCGCTCTCTGGGGAAGACTAGTTCTGGTTCCACGTGCAATAGATGTCAGTTATCAGAGTTAATTCACTTCTCCAAGTTCTCCACTGCCTTATCCAGGTATTGAACTCACACTCTTTGGGTCCTGTCACTGGATCTCACTAACCCCTTTATCCACTGTGCTATGTGCTCTTAAAGACATCGTTTTAAATTTCTAGGACTTATAAACTTAATGTCTTCAGCAACCATTTTTTACCAATTTTTGCTGTTATCATTGCATTTTTTTTTACCAGAGCTCACATTGCATTTTGTTATTATCACTTTTCTCTCGCACTCCTTATTACTGGTTCCCATATTGTATTCATTTCTATGTTTCTATGTCGGCTCAGGAGATTTTTGTGGCCTAGCCTTTTTGTTGATTCCTTAAGTTTACGAATTTTCCAATGGTGTTCTTGTCTATGATCTCAACATGATCCCACCGAGGGCAGTGATCTCCCTTTTCTCTCCATATGTGGTCAGCCACGCCTGATTTTTCCACTTCCGCTCGTGTTACAGCTTTCTGGTGTTCTTTAAGCCTTACTTTAAAGGGGCGGCCTGCCTCCCCTTCATATTTCTTTCCGCAGCTGCACGGAATGGCGTATACACAGTAGAACTAGATCAGTCTACCCCAGCGAGCGAAATAAAGGGTTCAGTTAGACATTCCAAACACCTGAAGAGGACCGGAGCGTACAACAACCGAAACGTTGTAATAAATATGGCGACAAAGATGAGGAGAATAGTCCGAATAATGTAAATAATGTACATAATACGTCATCTCAGAAATATAGACAGATACTGAAAAGCCGAAAGGTTGTAATAAATATGGTGACAAAGATGAGGAGAATAGTCCGAATAATGTAAATAGTGTACATAATACGTCATCTCAGAAATATAGACAGATACTGAAAAGCCGAAAGGTTGTAATAAATATGGTGACAAAGATGAGGACAATAGTCCGAATAATGTAAATAGTGTACATAATACCTCATCTCAGAAATATAGACAGATACTGAAAGGCCAAAACGTTGTAATAAATATGACAACAAAGATGAGGACAATAGTCCGAATAATGTAAATAGTGTACATAATACCTCATCTCAGAAACAGATACTTAAAAAAACATTGAAATTGCGTCCAGCATGAAACAGCCTATCGCCTCTGAGTGTTTTCATTGTTCACTTTTATATTTATATTTACATACGCTCTGTCTCTGATATTGAGCACTTTATCCCATGTATATAGCACCTTAAAACTATAAATATATATATATATATATATATATATATATATATATATATATATATATATATATATATATATATATATATATATATATATATATTATATATAAGTGTCTTCTTTTCTGGACATAAAGTGTGTAAATTTGTCTTTTACCCAATATCAAGGATGATTTTTTATCTAAATTTTTCGATTTTTTATGTATGTATCTAGAGTTATAGGAATGTTTTATTTTCCGAACACGGTCAACACATTTTGGCCGCGTTCATAGTTGATATTATGGAGAGGTGACTTTTTTATTTTAGTGCTTCCTTTATTTTTAGTCTTTTTTACATGTGAATGAAGCTATTATCCATATATTTTCTACAACACCATCCGCAACATACTTGTAGAAAACACTAGGATACAGTAGAGAGGAAGAAGACCCCTTCCGAACTCGAAGCTTTAGAAAAGTTAAGGTCATCAAAATACATCCTCATTGTTTCGTAACTATACAAGGGAAATGGAAATATATTTGATGCCCTCTAATAATATCATATTGAAATGTTTGTGCATCTATACAAAACGTCTTGAGTAGGAATCGTCCAGTAAATATTTATAGAGACCTGATGATGTAAATGTTCTTCAAAGTGGGGAAAAAAATTGGTCGGCGGTAGAATATTGTTTGGCAACGATTGAGATTGTGGGAGGGGAGATTCAAAATGAAAGCTTATGAGTAAAAATGAATAACATTAAGGAAAAAAGATGAAAAAAGAACAAATAACGTGGTAAGTAAAAGAAAGAAACAAACAAACAAAAAACAAAGAAGAAGACGAACAAGAAACAAAGATAGATAGATAGATAGATAGATAGATAGATAGATAGATAGATAGATAGATAAGATCAAATTGAGATAGATGCGAACGAGAAAAGGGTGAAAAAGCAGACAAACAAGAAAGAAAGAAAGAAAGAAAGAAAGAAAGACGGAGGGAAGGGTGAAGAAAAAAACAGAGAGAAAGACAAGAATGAGGGAAAAGACGAAGAAACAAGACAGATAGATAGATAGATAGATAGATAGATAGATAGATAGATAGATACGAACGAAAAAGAGCCCATAAAGAAAAACATACAAAAGAAAATAGAAAGAAAGAAAGAAAGAAAGAAAGAAAGACGAAGACAAAAGACAGACTGAAGGAAAAGAAATAGAGAAAAAAGAAATTAAGGAAAAATGGAAAAGACGAACAAGAAACGATATGAGATAGATAGATAGATAGATAGATAGATAGATAGATAGATACGAACGAAAAAGAGCCTATAAAGAAAAACATAGAAAAGAAAATAGAAAGAAAGAAAGAAAGAAAGAAAGACGAAGACAAAAACAGACTGAAGGAAAAGAAATAGAGAAAAAAGAAATTAAGGAAAAAGGAAAAGACGAACAAGAAACGATATGAGATAGATAGATAGATAGATAGATAGATAGATAGATAGATAGATGCGAACGAGAAAAGGGTGAAAAAGCAGACAAGAAAGAAAGAAAGAAAGAAAGAAAGAAAGAAAGACGGAAGGAAGGGTGAAGAAAAAGACAGAGAGAAGGACGAGAATGAAAGAAGAAAGATATAAAGAAAGGGGGAAACGACAAAGAAACAAGAAGAGATAGATAGATAGATAGATAGATAGATAGATAGATAGATAGATAGATAGATATGAACAGACTGAGATAGATAGATAGATAGATAGATAGATAGATAGATAGATAGATAGATAAGAACAAATTGAGATAGATAATAAGAACGAGAAAAGGGGCAAAAAGCAGACAAACAAGAAAGAAAGAAAGAAAGAAAGAAAGAAAGAAAGAAAGAAAACTTTATTACACAAGAAGAGATGTAAAAAAAAGGGGGGGATGGAAAGACTTAGTTTCAATTGATAAGGTGTACCTGATAGCCGTCAGCCTTGATAATAGATGGTAGAAATAAACAATCATATTCTGGTTCTGATACGAATAAGTTGTAAAGGAGGGGGGATCAGAAAGGGGAGGGGAAGGAGTCAGGCGAGGAAACAGCGAGAAAAAAAATGAGGATAAAACGAGAGGAGGAGAAAAATAAAACGAAAAGAAACGTGTTGCGCGAAAGATCAAAGCAGTTTCATCTTTGCCGAAAGGAATTCTTTCAATTAGTTATTTTATTTTCTATTTTTTTTCTTTTTGGCTTTTTTTTTTTTTTTCATTCTTATTTTTATTTTATTTTTATTTCTCTTTCTTTCTTTCTTTTTTTTTTTTTTTTTTTTTTGTGTAAAGAGGTAGTGGGTAGATGGTGGGATATTTTATAATTTAGGGACAAATAACAACTCACCGCCGGAGTGCGCATGAGCACAACTCTCTCGTTCGTCGCTCACGAGTCGTCACGTGCCTCAACTCAATGACCCACCCACCCCCTTACCAACCTCCGCCGCCACCATCTGACGACCTTCATCTGCTCGACTCGTTGCTTTCCATCCAGCCACCGGCACTAGAATTCCTTTTGAACGTCAAACTACCTTCTTCTTCTTCTTCTTCTTCTTCTTCTTCTTCTTCTTCTTCTATGTGCCCTGTCGTTTCATGATTTGGTCGATCATGGCTCTCCACAATTTCCTGTCCTTTGTACCTCTTAGTAAATGTGGTCATTTCGCTATCTCTCCTAATCCCTGTTCTGCCAACCACTTACACAAACTCATTCTTCTTCGATGTGTCGTGTCCCTTCAGGACGTGAGTGATCATGGCTCTCCACAATTTCCTGTCCTTTCTACCTCTTAGCAAATGTGGTCATTTCGCTATCTCGCCTAATCCCTGTTCTGCCAGCCATTTAAACAAACTCATTCTTCTTCTTCGATGTTTCGTGTCCCTTCTTCAGGGCGGTCTGCGTCTTGGCCGATTTTTTTTTTTTAAAAGACAATTGGGAAGAATAGAATTAGAAATAATAAAAAAAAAAGAAAAAAAAAGACATGATATCAAAACGGGCCGCTGATGTAGACCAGATATCGTCAAAGCATCTGACCGACTTTTGCGTGGAAAACTCCTTATCAATTTGGATTTTTTATTTTTTTTTAGAACAATAGAAACGAAATTTTAATCAGAGAAAAAGTGTTTTTTTTGGTTGAGGGGAGTTACCAGTGGAACTATATACAGATCCTGACCTGTTAAGAATTGGACACCCACGTTAATAAAGTGGAGACATTTTCAAAGTAGATAATTAAGATTTTCGACTATCAGGAAAAACAAAAAGAGAGGTAAAAAGAGGGACAATTGCTTTTGGCTCACAGAGGGCGCCAAGAAGGCGGAAAAAAAGATCCTTTCTGAAGTCAAGACTAATTAGCGGCGGGCTGTTTGACAAAGTCCAGGTGAGAGAAAGCCAAGATTGTCATTTTGCGTACGTGCAAAAAAAAAAAAAAAAAATTGGATTTTGTTTTTTAAAAACAAGAACGATGTAACCACGCCCGCAAACAAGAGGAGAAAGGATGTTCGATCAATAACAATTGGTCGAAGACGGTCACGTGATCTGGAAGAAAAGGGAAAGAAATGTTCGACCAATAACAATTGGTCGAATACGAGAACCTGCGGAAGAAAAGGGAAAAAAATGCCGATCAGGAACCATTGGTTAAAAACGGTCACCTGACATACGAGAGACTAAGAGAGATGGATGTGCGCCGCCCCACCAAAGGTACTATGAGGAAGTAGGGGTGAAAACAATAGCGATAATGGAGAAGACAGAATTAATGCAGCTTTTGGAATTATCGAGAAAACCCTGACGCCGACAGACCCACCCCAGTTTGTTGCGGCGTCAATAAAAGCAGGACCCCAGTCGACAGAAATCAGTTGAGTTGGAGTTGCAGTTGGAGTGGAGTTGCAGCTGGACCGCGGGCAGAGAAAGAGCCTGAACGCGGGCATCAGGCCCGATTCACTCGCCCTTTGCGGGCAAAAAGAACCCTCAGACAAGAAATCCTTCCAGCCCAAGTCGAAGACAGAAGAACTTCCAGCCCAAGTAGACGGAGAAGAAGATTGCCTGAAAGCCTGAGAAGAATTGGAGCTGCAGACAAGCCGAAAGTCGATGAGAAGTTAAAGTTCAGCCCCGGACGGCAGTGAGAAGAGACCACCTCAGACGACAGAGAGTTGCGGCTAAGTTGAAACAAGAAATCTTCCACCAAGTTGAAACAGGAAAACTACCAGCCCAAGCAGACGAAGAAGAAGAAATACAACTCAAGTCGGAGAGAAGAATCAACTGCGAATGATCGATAGAAATTAGCCCCAGTGTCGAACTGAACCACACTCGACATACATACAATTCTAAAAGTAGGTAATTCGACATCTTTATATTGTGTGATAGAAGCTTGGTGCCATAGTCCACAGAGCGGGTCGGGAATTGAGAACAATTTTGTTTTTATGTAACGGACATTAAGATATAAAAGGTTGTTACCCTTTTTTTTTCATCAGCAATTTTGTTTAGTGTCGTGAGTTTTTTTTTTATTTGTGTTTTGCCACCCCCGTCGGACTCAACTTGTATCGGCCCCAATCCCTGCTGGTCCCGTCTGTCTAAGATCTAAACACAGCGTGGGTAGACAGACCGGAGATCGGTATAGTTGCTTTAGTGACCAGGTATTGGAAGCGAGTCGGGAAAGGCGAGGCTGGTGATCATCTGACCAAAGGGTTGGAGCGGCACGCTTGGACCCAGGAGGAGCGACCAGGAGGAGCGACGTCACCGTTGGCGCCGTAACCAAAGGATCCGACCCTGGGCCAGGTGTGTAACCGTCACAAGTGGTGCCGTGACCAACGGATCAACCCTGAGACAACCACGTCACATATGGTGCCGTGGTGACCGAGGGATTTCAACCCTGAGAAGACCACGATCGACCGCCGTTGCTGAAAATTCAGACAGAACTCAGAACGACCCGGGACCAAAGGAAAAAAAAGAACAGAATCGTCTGTAAGGTAGGACACCTTGTTTTGTTTCCCAACCTCGATTGTTGCTGTATAGACTGTCTTTCTCTGTAGACATGTCAGATTATGAGTCGGATAGAGCAGTGGGGGGGTGAAGAAGAAGTAGGGCGGGGGTTGTCAGTGGATCTAAGGAAGCTGTTGGGTGGACCGAGGGTCCCAGTATTGGATGGCAGCGGGAAGGAGTTTAAAAACTGGCTGGCAATCCTCGAGAAGAGCCGAACCATCTACGAACTCTCGGACCAAGAAACCCTGTATTTGGCATACGATGCCACAAAGGGAAAAAGCGTCTGAGTTCGTAAGGGGGCTCTTGGAGAACCAACCCCGCTTGGCTTGGGAAGAAGAAAAAAAAGACTACTGACCAAAGAATTCGCCGACGAAGGTACGGCCATAGAGGCCATGAGGGCCCTTTTAAAACTAACACAGCTGCGGGATGAAACCCCGGGAGAATTAGGGGCCCGAGCGGGGAAGTTATCGTCATTGGCATTCCCCGAAGTGGTCAGGGATAATGCGGTTATGCAGGCCCAACTGGCGGACCTGTATGTAGAGGCGCTGAACGACGAGCGTGTTCGTCACGACGTATTGAAAGAAGGACCGCTCAGACTGTCGGCAGCGATAGAGCTGGCCAGGGAGAGCCAGGGGTGTGGGATAAAGTGAAGAGGTGTGGGAAGAAGCAGATACCAAGTCAGGAGGCTGGAAGAAGGGGGTAGGCGGAAGAACCCCCGTGTGGAATCAGAGGGTTAAGGAAGAGGTGGATCGGGCAGAATTATGGGAGGAGGACCCCAATAGAAGGGCATGGTCGACCAGGCATGGCTTTTATAAGCCCACGCCGGGTCGATACGGGCTGGTCTGCTGGACCTGTGGGTACGAGGACCACAGGGCGGCGGAATGTCCGACGAAGTGGGGGTTGCCCCCAGACTTCGATCGTGACAGGTGCACCAGGTGTGGTAAGAAAGGACACCTGGCTAAGTGGTGCGGGCTGAGGAAGGGTGCCCCACCAATATTAACAAGGGCTGGCCGAGCCCAAGAAAAGCCAGCGGGCCACCCCAGAATTAAGAGGGAGGGTGGCCCAGTTAAAAAGGAGAGAAATAAAAACTTGGACCAGGGGGTGGGCAACCGCTTGAATAGAGGACGGGTTCCCCCCGAGGATAGACACAAGGCAACCCAGTTTAAAAAGGAAAGAGCAAAATGTTGGACATGTGGTCGGGCGGGCCACTTTGCGGCAAGCTGTCCAGCAAGAAGGTGCTGGTTTTGCAGGAGGCCAGGACACCTGAAAAGAAACTGTATTCTTAGAAACGGCCATGGGAGACCGGGAGAGGTCCGGCCAGGGTCGCCCAGGTGCAGGGGGCGCAGAACTCCACCTCATGAAAAAAAAATGAAGGTGATTTATTACTACCGGCGCCTATGGATGGGTTAACCCAAAGGTGGGGACCCAGGAAGAAGAAAGCTCAGGTGTTCTCTTCGCTAACGCAAGAGAGAGAACTATCCTGTAGAGCAGAGATAGGTGGTAGAGAGATGAGGGCTTTGGTGGACACAGGAGCATCTGTGTCATTGATGAGAGAGGAAACATACAGGCGGGTGAAACGGAAGAGAAGGTTACGGGAAGCGGACATAGAGATCACGCAAGCAGATGGGGCCCCCTGGAGATAAAAGGGATGGTGAGGCTCCCGGTGAGGATTGGGAGGGTGAAAAGCACCCAAAATTTTTACGTAACCCCCGACCTGTGTACAGAGGCAATCTTGGGAGAAGATTGGCTCCGGAGCCAGAAGGCCCAGATCGAGTTTAATCCTACTGTGTTGGTGGTGAACGGCGAGAGAACGCCATTGGGATGCCCACCAGAGGAAGAGATAACCATAGTGGTGGAGGAAGATGTAAAGTTACCTCCTAGGACCGCAGTGTCGGGAAAGGGTAGGCTAATGTCAGAAAAAAAGGTACGGAGAGGACCTCTGCAGTTGGTCCCTGTAGAAGGAAAGGGCCTAGAAGATAACGAGGTAACCCTGTGCGAAACGGTAGTGGAGGCAGCCGAGTTGGTGCCCATTATGATGGTGAACCAGGCCCAAAAGACTATCAAGGTTAGGAGAGGGGAGAAGATAGGAGAGCGCTTCCCCTACGAACTCTGAATCGGGTGAGATTCGAGGAGGAACGAAGGAAGCTAGTAGAGCAAACAAAAGGAATCTTAGATGAGGATATATTAGCACCGGATCAATTTAGAACCAGAGTGGGGGGTCTGTTAAGGAACAATCGACATGTGGTGGCCCAGTCAGACAAGGAGCTAGGTCAGACCCACACAGTCGAAATGAAAATCGACACCGGAGACCACCCCCCCTGTGAAATTAAAACCCTACCGAACACCTATACATAAAAGACCCTTGTAGAAGAAGAGGCAGTAGGAAAATGTTG